TCGGTGGTAGCAGCCAAATGATTTGAGAGAGGCTGGTGGCAGTTGGGTGAAAGGTTGGGGGATTGACCGCAGCCCTTGAGGGTCTAGGATGGCGGTAATAGCAAGTTGATGGCGGTGTGGCAGCAGCGGCTAGGCGGGATGCAGGAGCAACAAAGGGGTAATCATTATCTCAAAGCAAGACACAGTCGAAACACCACCTATCTTGAAATAAAAACCCTGATAATGGAAAAGAGAAAACTTCGACGACTGTCCTGACAAAGTTTCACACACACAAAAAATTATCTATGCATAAACACCAAATTTTAAACCTTAACTACATGAATATATAAGAATTCTTCTATATGCATGGAAATTCCCTCAAAATTAATGAATTTTATTTGAATTATCTCAAAACTTGACTCCAAATCAAATACAATTGACTCAACTCAAACCTCGCTCGAGTCGAATTTGAATTCTTCGATCTCAAGCTCGGACACATTCATTAACATACAAATTGATATCAATTTTAAGTTTACAACATTAGAAGATTATTCACTCATTCTGCAATGTTAAATTCACTTATTTAATTTAAATTCAATGGCAAGCACTCAGAACTGAACATTATTTCCCAAATGTTTGAAGAAGAACTTAAACATGTACAATGAAACATTAATAGGGGCATTTGCATATATACCACACAATTCTTATGTATTTACATGTCTAACAACTAAACTTTCATATTTACATGCATAACACTCTAAATTTAATATCACTAGTATGATAAGTGAAGTGAACCTTTTCATGCACAGGTTTATGACAACACCATGTCATAAATGTAAATATCAAAATCTAGGTGTTAGATGTGTATATATTAAAGGAAATTGTATGGTATATATGTAAATGTCCCATATTAATATTAATACATGGTCACATTTGAATCGATTGACACATGCCACAAAATTTCTATGTATTTACATATCTAACACCTATACTTGTTACATTTATGGCATCCAAAATCTTTCTTATAACATCAAAAAAATCATTATTTTAAATTATAAAAAGTGAAATACACCTCTTCGTGTAAAGGTAAGGTGGCATAGAAGTAAGAAATTGAAGTTTAGGTGTTAGATATGTAAATACATAAGAATGAAGTGGTATGCATGTAATTCTTCCAGATAAAAAGCATGGAATATAATTTGGCGCAGTTTACTCACTTTCCATGATGCTCTTGAATGTTTCCTGCAAGAATGAGATTACAAACATAAATTTATTAGGAATTTCTATGTAGTATGCTATCACAGCTCAGCAAAAATTAAGAATATAAGCACTGATTTGTAAAAAGCAGCTGTTATTGGACAATTAGAACAGTTGATTTGAGATAGGAGATGGGAGATGGCGAAATAAAGGAGTATAGATGTTGGAAAATCTGCAAAATTTATTTCAAACAAAGAGAAAAAGAAGAGCACTGCACAAAATCGCATAATAATTTTGGGATAATTACATACAGACCACACAAAATGTTGATATTTACAAATTAATCACCCGAGTGATTTCTTGAACTATCAAACCGATGTATTTATGTTTGCCACAATCAAACTATTTAGAATTTGATAAAAATGAAAAATATGTGTTGTGATTTTAACATGAATTTTGATATTTGATATTTGAGCTATTAAATGAGTATCAAAAGTTGCATAATTTTGCATGCAATAAAAAAAGCCAACTCATATATTACAAAAATAGCATTCGTGTCCTTTTATTCATCGAGTTTATAAAAGTATTAATTTAGTCAACATATTATTTTAATATGAGTTGAAATAATTCCCACAGAGGACTATTTCAACCTCTATTAATAGAGTCTGAAGACTAATTTGACATTTTTATAGACTCTCAAACTAGAATCACTCCATGTAACAAGTTACAGGACTATTTTGACACACTACACTTTTTTTAAACTATCAAATTGAAGTATCTTTGCGTGGGTCAATCAAACTATTAGCAATTTGATAAAAACGAAAAAATAAGGGTCGGGTTGTTATTGCGAACTTCGATGTCCAAGCGAGAATTTCAAAAGTAGTTTTACAAATAACAATGCTTCGAGATTACCTCATCCTTCGTCAAGCGAGGATTGTACAGCATCTCCTCCCCAGCAGTAGAAACCTGAGGGTACATAGCTAACAACTAAACATTAATTTTTACATCCATGACACCTTATCTATGCATGCAAAGGTGTTCTTCATTTTTGGTATTTTTTATGTGATGTGAAAGATTAGAGTGGTATAAATGTAAAGAGTAAAATTTAGGTGCTAGATATGTAAAAACATAAGAATTGGGTAGTATGTATTTTGTGAAAAAGAATGAAAAAAATGTTTCTTACGGTGAAGCCCTTATAGTCATGAGCAGGATAGAGAAGTGTGTCGTTGGGCAATGTGAATATCTGCTCATAAAGAAGGTAAATAGTAAAAAATGCAATTTGCAGGATATGTTGAGAAGATCTAGAGATAATACTAAGATTTATTTGATCTGCTTGCCTGCGAGTGGACCGACTGGTAGAGCTGACGAGAACTTCCTCCCTGTAAAATTGATAAATTAGATTATTAACCTAACACAAAAATAAGAATATGGAAGCTAAAAGAAAATCAGGCTTTCTAAATTTGAGTTCTTTTCATCCATGGAAGATAAATTAAGGTATGAACGATAAGCAGGCAAAGTTTGACCCTTTTTAAGGGGCATTTACATGCATAACACCCAAGTCCTATGTATTTACATATCTAACACCTAAATTTTACTTTTTACATCCATGCCGCCTAAATATTTCATATCACTTTAAAGTTACCATCATTTTAACTTTTAAAAAGTGAAATACACCTTTTATTGGTAAGGTGACATGTATGTAAATTTGAAAGTTTATGTGTTAGTAATATGATCTGAAACAAAAAATCAACACAATTTTTCACATAAACTAGGGCAAAACAGATTTCTTATTTCAATAATTCAAACAACACAATAAAAATACTACGATAAGCACCTAAGATTAGACAAATAGTTGATCTTTCTCAATTCATACAATTCAAGAGGTCGAAAATCTCTCCCAAAATCTTAACCTAAGACTCACAACACAATCCCATGCATAAAAACTAACCCTAAACATAATAAGTCTATTTATACCCAACAATAATAATAATAAAAGACTAAATTGCCCTCAGGAATATAAAAGACAAACTTGCCCTTATACTAGACATAGACATAACTATACTCCAACCTCCAAAAGACACATTGTCCTCAAGATGGGAAACAATTAGACAGTTGCTTGATCAAGTCAAGCGACTTCCACCAGGCGTCATTATTTGACCATCTTTTCCATTTAAGCAGGAATTCATGATGACTCACAGGAGTTCGAAATGTAATCTTATGCACATCCTGTGGTCACATTTGAATCGATTGGTGGTCTGATTTCCAATCAATCTTAGAGAATATCATAGCCCCCAAACAACTTATCACGTGGCTTATAGATCACCATAATCTATTTTAACTCTGTTTCATGTCTCTTGCATCTTTATCAACTTCAATCCTGGTTGCTTTTGTTTGATCAACCCATTTGAATGTTGTATTATTTCTTCAAAATGTTGCGGCTTGAGTTCGCTCTGGGTTTCCTCGCTCAATACCATAGCTTCCGATCCGCTGTGACGCTGCCCTCATTTCATGTGAATCCTTTAGGTTGATGTTGTTGGAATCCATTCCCGACATTGTGTCTCAACCTCGTGACAGGGTAGAGCCGGTTTTGTGTGAAACTCCATTAACTTCTTCATCATTTCTTACATTTCCCTTATGCTCTCGAATCCATCCTCCATTCAACTCTCTATGGAAGAAAACATATTCTATGGTGACGAATATTTCTTCCATCTCAGATCTTTCTCTAATTTCTCCTCCAAGCATCTACTTTCTTTACTAACATTGCTTCTTGTAGGGTTTCGAAACTCGTGATCCTGTGGTTGGCTTCCCAACTAGCTTGAATCACAATAGGAATGTCGTAATTTCATTGTCAGCTTCCCAAATCATGAGAGGTTCTATCCCGAGGGCACACCTGATCTGGCCACTAACTTTGAGGATCTTGTATAGCTACTGTCTCGCGACTGGACACCATCATCCCATTAGTGTATCACGGAGAAAGATGGAAGTTTGTGGTCTCTGTACGCCGCGATCCCCACATGGCCATCTCAGTTAGCTCTAATCTCGCCCATGTTGCGAAGACAAAGGAGAAAAAAAAGGATCGGCGTTATGAATCCTAGTAGGTTGTAATCCTGTTGAAGCCTTCCCTATTTAGCTTTGATCTCGACCGTAAGCGAAGACGGCGCAGAAGGAAGTGAAAAGAGTTTCGAGTCTCGGTAAGCCGCGATCCCTTCGTTCTTCGGTAAGCCTTGCACGTGGCTTTGTTATTCAGGAGAAGGCGAGAGATGGGAGCTTCGGATCTCTGTACGTCGTGATTCCTTTGTGTCGGGGCCTTCGTAGCTCGCTTTGATCGTGATTGTATGCAAACAACATGGGTAAGTCGCGATCCCTTCGTCGATTGCCTCGCAGTGGCTAAATTCACAAAAATAATGGGAAAGAGGCGACGCAGCTTACAGAAAACACAATCCTATTGTGGTCTTCCCTGCGCTGAACTCACGAAATAACTGCAGGACGAAGCAAGAGGAGGAGAAAGACTTGAGTTATGAGTTTTTGTATGTTTCAATCAAATCGAAGCCTTCTCTGCTTGGATTGGATGTCAAAGTGTTCAGTCACGAAGGAACTCCTAATCTTCCAAAAATGCCGCTCTGATACCAATTTGATAAGATCTAGAGCAAAAAATTGACACAATTTTCCATAGAAATTAGGGCAAAATAAATTTGTTATTTCAATAATTCAAGCAACTCAATGAGAATACAAAGATAAGTACCTACGATTCGAGATATAGACAATCTCTCACAATTCCTACAATTCGAGAGATAGCAAATCTCTCACATAACCTAAACCTTAGACTCACAACTCAATCTCAAGCATAAAAAACTAACTCTAAACATAATAAGTCTAATTACACCCAACAATAATAATAACAATAAAAGACTAAATTGACATTAGACATACAAAAGACAAACTTGCCCTTAGACTAGACATAAACGTAACAATACTCCCCCCCACCCACACAAAAAAAAATACACATTGACCTCAAGTTCAGAAAAAACTAGACCGCTGCTTGATCAAGTTAGGCGGCTTCCACCTGACATCATTATCTGACCATCTTTTT